TAACAGAAATGTCTGGAAAGTTACTTGAGTGGTTACAGACTCTCAGACTCACTCCTTGGGCTGCTAAATCTTGCTGCAGACAGGAGCTAAAAGCTGTTTTCCATGGTGACAGCAAACAGTTCTCCTATCCCCATGCATAGCACGAGGCAGCAGCCTTCTGCCTGCTAACGTAGACATGCATTTGGTTTAGGCTTCCGATGAGAGGCGGCTTTTCCGTGCTCTAGCATGGCTTTGCCACTCCCAGTCTGACAAGCCAAACTGTTTTATAACCACTGGGATGACAATCATGCTTGAGGTACGTTTGGAGCTGATCATACTTCTAGTGATGCTCAGGATGGTCCACAGTGCCTGTTGAAGAGATATTGGAGTGCCACAAGATACCGTTGTGTGATGGAGGATGCTTAAAGCAGAGTAAGGTATTGCTCATTGCTCTTAGGCAGCCAGGAAAGCAGGCAACAATGTGCTGGGCCCTGGTGATGTAGATATGTATAATGAAGTTATACCATATGTTCCTTTCATATCATCATTTTCCTTGTGATGGCTTAATTTAAGATGCTCAGCATAACATAGAATATCCCTAACATACTGGTATTCTGAGCAGATACTTCTAGCACAATGAAAGGTCATAAAATTGTCCATGAAAGGAGTCAGATTCTGTCTTTGCTCAGCTAAAATAGCCATATACATTTCAATGAACATTCTGCTTCTTGGTGAGGAACATGAAACAAAGAACACCTCTTTATATTTAACCTAATAACCGTCTTTCCTGACACTAAGACAACCGAACTTGAAATTTTTCAAAATTTTCCTCATTTGCTCTGATCCATCATTATTTAAATAATAACAAAAACACTTAATACTTATTTGAAAGCATATATTTAAAATCCTGTCTGCTTAAGGGATTACACTAAAATGTCACTTCTAAAAAAGACATATCTAATTTCACCATTGTCTCTCTGAAAGGTTAAGTATGTAGAGTAGAATTAATGCTTATGTTGATGTACAGATTATCTGTCTTGTCATTCAGTTTGATATTTTTCATAGACTATTTCAAACTCTAGAATGACAGATAAATTGCAGTTGCAACTGATTTCTGAATTTTCTATCAAGATAAAGGACATAGAGGGGCTAAACCGCCTCAGGAGCTATCTAACTCTCATTTCAAATAATTTTTTAAAGTTGGGTTTGTTTGGGGTTTTTTTTTTTTTTTTTCCATAGACATATATTTGTATTTTGGGGAGGAAGCAAACTCTACAGCATGTTGTAAAAATTTGAGTCATTTATTAACAGGTAAGTCATGAAAAGTGTTGGCTTTTTTTTAACAGAATGCTCTCCCAAACTCTGGACAGGGCCTTTCCATGCCTCATATTTATGCAGAAAAGCTTCTCCCTGACTTAATGCTTGAATGACAGAATTTGCATTTTCCCTCTCAGGAAATACTGTGTTAGTGCTCAGGATGGGAGTCTTGGCATGGCACAATATACTGCATAAGCAAAGAAAGTTCCCAGCTCTCTGGAGTTTGAGTGGGAGAATTTCCTACTCAAAATGTATTCTTCTGAAGTCATTCCCAAAGACCAAACTTCTGTAAATAAACTACTGCATCAAGTTCTTCCACCTCCACTTGCCTTGCTCAAACATACATATGAAGTAAATTTCCAACTTTCAGAGCTCAATTTTTTCTTACTCTTCGTATATCTAGATTTGTTGAGGACTGCTTTTTTTATGCATTTAACAATGCAAAGCAAAGTTAAGCACACAAAGGCAACAGGATCGCAGCACCTTATTTTTCCACTGGTAGCCCCATATGACCTAATTGCAGTGTCTGGGAGCAGTCAGCATGCATTTATCAAGAACAAAGCGTGCCTGACGTACCCAGTGGCCTTCCATGGTAAAATGTAGTTGTCATTAGTGTAGATTTTTACGAGGCTTTTGACACAGGCTCCCACAGTTATTTTATACAGATGGGTAAAAGCCTGGTTGGATGACGAGGCTGAGGGTCATGCCTCCTGGCTGGACCTACCTGGATGCCTGTGGTGAGAGGGGTATCACAGGTCTATCCTAGAACCTGTCCTGTTTAACAGCTTCATCAGTGACCTGGAAGAGCTGGAGGAGTGTGCTCTCGTCAAGTTTGTAGATGACACCAAGTTGGAGGGACCAGTCAATATACTCAGGAGTAGGGCTGCCGTTCAGAGAGGCTAAGGCAGCCTGAAGGAACGGGACAACAGGAACCTTCTGACATTCAACAAGGACAAATGCCAGGCCCTGCACCTGTGAAGGAAGACGCTCCTGCAGTGATGTAGTCCAGGGGCTGCCTGGCCAAGAAGCAGCTCTGTGGAAAGGACCTGGGGGCCTGGGGGCTAGCGTGCTCATCCTGTGCAGGGAGGCCAAGGGTTGGGTCTTATTCAGACTGGTGAAAAGATGGCTTGGGGGGGGGGAATGATAACCCAATAGTAGCCACCCAGTACCTATGGGAAGGTGACAGAAGATGGAGATGAGCTCTTCTCAGTGATTCCTGGTGGGAAGATGAGAGACAGTGGTCATTAGTTGAAACAAGAGATCAGTTGTAAGGAAAACTCTTTCCTCATGAGGAGTCAGGCAGTGGAACGGGCTGCTCAGAGATGTTGTGCATCTCCATCCTTGAAGGTTTTCAAGACCAGATGAGATAAAAACCTGAGCAACTTGTTGTGGCCTCATGACTGACCCTGCCTTGGGCACGAGGCTGAACTATAGACCTCTTGAGGTCCCTTCTCACCTGAATTATACTGTGGTACTAAGATAGCTTCTAATAACAAACAGTAGTCTGTGACCATACGATTTGTTTCTATATAGCTCCTGTATTAGTTAGGAGTGACAGATGAAACTTGCTGCTCCCAGAGTATTTGCTGGAAGCGGACTGTGACCTCTGACATCTGTGTTGACAGTGAGCTCCAAAACACAGGGTGGCCTGGAACTTAGCAAGTGTCTAATCACCCAAAGAGTGAAATTTTGGAATAAATTTCCCAATATAGTTGTCAGGGGAAAACTGCTTAAATAGTTTTAAAATACAGCTGGATAAATTTATGAACAGGATTATGTGATATGATTTCCAGCAATGGCAAGGACAGAATTCAGTGACCTAGGAGTCTGTATGTCTTTTGTTTTGACAAAAGCAAGCCCAAGCTCCTCATCTTCAAGAATAAATAAATGGAAAATTAAACTTAGTAAATATCGTAAATATTTCATTGACACTTCATACTGTGAAACTGAAAGCCCAGTTCGAAATTATTAGTTTGTAGCTGTGAGGCTTGATAACCATGATAATAAATGGTATTTATATTCCAGTCCAAAATGGGTATCAGAACAAAAATGCACAAATATGGACAAACTTAATTAAGCTGTGATTGATTTATTCATATCATAGCAGCTGAAGGCTGTATGATAAACAGCTACAAAGCAGGTGCAGTATATATCATTGGCTTGATTATAAAAAAAAATGGCATTTTACTCAATCTCAAATTCAAAAAAGGAGATTATACAAATTCAGAGAAAGTAAGTCATGCTATAATTGTATTGCATTTTAAGAATAACCTAATTTTCTTCATGAAGTAATTGAGTAGTTCCAGTTTGTCATGATAAATCAAGCCTGAACCTGAGCACAAGAAGATGTAAAAAAAATCAAAATGTTCTCCATGGTGCATGGTCCAGGATATAATCTAGAGAGGGTCAGATTTAGAATAATAACACTCATATTTTTATAGACAAGTCACTGAAACTTTGTACGGCAAACCGCAGTTTCAGTGGAAGGAAAGGCAAGTTTCTGCAGTAGCATACTGTACAAAGGCAGCATTTTTATATTGAGGTATCTGCCAGAGATCTTACTGGAGCCAGGGGAACCACAGCCAATGTTGTGTTCATATATCCTTTGGCTTTGATAAAGCAGAAATCCACAACCCTAACAAACAGGCATGTTCATACTTACTGTGAGGGTATATGGAAAGGCACTCACCTCCCGCAGCAGGTTTGAGTAAGGTCCCGAGTGCTCACACGAAGGGACGAGCCCTGAAGCCTGGAAGCAGGAGGGAAGAGCTCCGTGTCCCGCGGCTGCTGGTGCCACTGGAAGAGCGTGGGGGGAGGCAAGCCCCCACGACACCGCTGGTGTGCTTCTCAGCAGAAGTGCGGTCAGATGCGATAGGGCTTTTATGGGCTAATCTGGGAGGGGTAAGGTACAATAATGTTTTCACTGCACTGCACTATTAAGTGAATAAATAATGCTTAGCCTATAATGAAACTTGATAAAATTCAGTTCAGCAATATCAGGATTGATCACTGTAAGCTGACATTGCTATTTCCACATACCTCCAGAAAGCTGCACAGCGTAATGTACAAAGCAACTGCATGATTTCAGAGTTGCAACAGCTACAAGTGCTATTAACCAGCAGAACTGCAGCTAGAACATAGGCAGTAACTTAGACATACATAGCAGAAATATCATATCAGGAAAACTAGAGCAGAAAAACAAATTTGAAAAGGAATAGCACCAGTTAATGTCATGATTGAAAACTGCTTACAAGTTCCCATGCTCTAAGTTCACATTATTTTTCTTAAAGAAAAGATTGGTTTTGAATTTTGTATGTACAGTGTCAGTGTCTTGCTCAGGGAATGTAGGTATTTGATCAGTGCCGACACTATTAAGAAAATAAGAGCTAGTTTCAGTCACTTAAACAGGGATATGCAGTGCTGTGTGAAATGCCGAGTCTGCAGCAGCCAGGACAAAATCGGGAAGGTCTCACTGACGTCCTACGGGACACCTGACTTGAGGCAAAAATGTGGGATACGCCAGAATGCCTCCAGTGGCAATAGATGTCTGTCCTCAGGCAATGTAACTGAACCCTAAATGTATGCGTTTTACAGGGAAAAAGGATACAGCATGGTTATAAAAGTCATGATTATTTCTGAGGATTTTTCCAATGGGGATCTGTGAAGGAACTTTTTCATCTATTGACACCAACATGCATTGCAAGTATTGATCAAGGAAAAATTTATTTACAGAGATTTTTCAAATACAAACATAAAATAGCACATATTATATATATATTTTTTACAAAAATGAATATTGAAATAATAAACATGGTACAGCACAATACAACATCAATGAGCTAAACATAATAGCAACAGAAATCTATGTTTGGAAGAAGTTTCCTGTTAGTCGTACATAACCAACAGAGCTCTACAGTACTGTGAGTGGAATTTCCAATGGACAGAAAAACGTCCATTTACTGCACTTCATAAAAGTACTATAGGGAAAAGCTACATATGCCAAGTAATTATGTTGCATTTTTGTAATAATGCTGAAAACACAGAGGCTTAATAAAAGTTATATAGGGCTGAATAAGCAGTGGCTAAATGTTTGGGGAAGAAAAATGTGTAGAGGATATACAAAATACTGATAAAGTGGCTTATTGGTCCTTTTATTAAGTTTAATGTATAGATTAAAAAGTGTTGCAACACTGAATTTTAAACCACCAGAGAGAAGTAAAAAAAAAAAAAAAAAAAAAAAAAAAAAAAAGGAAAGGAAGAAGAATCGCACCAGAAAACATTTCCTCTCTGCTCATTTTGTGCCATGGTCAACGTCTGTGCGTGCGTGTGTGCTTTCAGAAGCGCTGCGCCGAGGGACTGCCAGGTGCTAACCCAGGCCCCCGGCACTGCTGCCCCCCTCACCAACCTCTCAATTAATTGGTGCCCGCAGAATTTCACCATTTGCCAAAGCAGAGTTTTCCGTGCTTATATTTTTACGGAGCAGACCAAGAGCGGGCTCGGGTGAGAAAGCCCGTTCCCTGTCCAGCCTGGCTGGAGGGCTTTGCACCGCGTTCACCTCCCTGCCCTCCCTTGGGCCACCCGCTGTCCCACCCCACGCCCACTCCAGAGAGAAAGCACTTAAAAATTCCTTGTTCATCGTCGTTATCCAGAAGACGTCGGCAAGCCCCTCGGGCGCCTGGCAGCGCCCGTGCCCCAGGGCTCAGTAGGGGTACTGCTTCTGCTTCTTGCCGGAGAAACAGGCCAGCCAGGTGCACACCAGCATGGCCGCCGCCGCACCCCCGCCCGTGCAGTAGTAGGCCCAGCCGATGTGGCAGGTCCCTGCAAGGGAAACAGAGCCACACAGCACAGCGTTAGCTGGGGGAGCAGGCGCCGCCGCCACCCTCCGTTCTGCCCACCCAGGGAAAAGCACTTTTCTAGGTTTCCACCCACTTGTACATCCACCTCAGACAGGGAACGCGAAGAGTAATTCAAGCAATTGGAGAAGCCAAGCTGTTTAAATGGCTCCCCGCAATTTTCTATGCTGGTTCAGCAGGCAGGCCTCTGAGCTTGCTTGCTTGGCCAGTTGCTTTGCTCCACACATGAAGAAGTGCCACATGAGAGACAAGGCCGAGGGTGTTGGCACCATGAGCATCATGAGACAAGGCCAAGGGTGTTGGCACCATGAGCATCATGAGACAAGGTCGAGGGTGTTGACACCATGAGCATCATGAGACAAGGCCAAGGGTGTTGGCGCCATGAGCATCATGAGACAAGGCCAAGGGTGTTGGCGCCATGAGCATCATGAGACAAGGCCAAGGGTGTTGGCGCCATGAGCATCATGAGAGACAAGGCTGAGGGTGTTGGCACCATGAGCATCATGAGACAAGGCCGAGGGTGTTGGCGCCATGAGCATCATGAGACAAGGCCGAGGGTGTTGGCGCCATGAGCATCATGAGACAAGGCCGAGGGTGTTGGCACCATGAGCATCATGAGACAAGGCCAAGGGTGTTGGCGCCATGAGCATGCCAGCCATGGGGTGGGTGTCCCTCGGCCCACTTGGCCCAGGGAGCACTGGCAGCACCGCTCTCCACAGCAGCTGCAGTCAGAAGAGGATTTTTCCCACCGTTTTCTTCTCCTCCTCCAGGCACTGTTTGAGGATATTATTTTTTGACTGAGATTTTGAGAGTTTGCAGGTAACTTGGGCTGGAACCTGCTCCCTTCAGAAAGTGCTGAGTGGGTCCAACTCCACCATTGCAGTGACAGAAACCAGACCCAGCCACAAGCTTCTGGGTGACAATAACCCAGGACATGGCGGTGGGGAACGTGTTCACATCCCCCTCACACAGGCATCGATCCTGACAATCCTCAAAGGAGTATGGTGTCGGGGGACAACCTGCATGGGGTCTTCTGTGGGAATGGGGTCTAGAAACACAAAACCAGATAAATTTCCCTATTCCCACCCAAGGTCACAACTCCCTGCTGAAAACTTCACTGATCTTTTGTCTAATGTGTTTAACAGTGTCACAATATGGCCTTGAATACATTTAATGACCTTGGTATCTTTATACAGCCAAACTCATGACCAGTGAATGGTGCTGGGAAATCCCACGGTGGACCATAAAGTGATCTCTCCCCTTTCAGGCACCATTATGCCTGCAGTAGAGGAGGAGATCGGGAAAAGGGCAGCTGCAACAGGGAGGAAGCCTCCTCACAGAGATCTCTGAAAGCAAAAGAGATGGCTGCTGTTAGCCCTCAGGATTTCAGCCCATCTCAAAAGTACTTTTGACTTGCGCAGCATCATGTTGGTCATTTTGATCTTGAGTGCTTGGGACTCATTACAACTGAGGTTCTCCCTGTGTCACCATCTTGGGGTGATACTGCCCTGCTTTGAGCAAGTGAGTGCTCTTAGTAAGGCACAAGCAGCAATACAACACTTCCTTCCCACATTCCATCAAAAGCAGCAGAAACCAATCTTCCCTTCAGAGAACAGAAGGTAACAACAGAGTTTCCATCCAGAAAGACAGAGCTGAAAGAGGTGGAATGTCTATATTCTGTCCTTGAAGGTCAATTTTCGGGTTCAGACAATTATCAGCTTGGCTAATCCTGCCTTAGGCTCAAACCACTCAATGTGTCTGTACATCTCAACATGCCCAAAGTATTAGCATGCCTCAAGGCAGAGAGCATGTCCATCAACTGTCTGCAGGATATTGTCAGGCAAGCTTTGTAAGGAGACATTAGTGGGAGACAACACTTATGCTCGTGGCCACGCTGAAGATCTCAGGTTGACACCACAGCAGGAAGCATAGTACTTGATTATTTTTTTTTCTTCATAATTCTCAAAACCTTTTATTTAAAAAACAAAGATCTTGACATGATCAGAGGACTTGAGGAGCTGTGGCCTTCTCTTGTGCTCATTAGCCCCTCTCTTTAATGTACTGGGGCAGACAGAGAGATTTACTTGGTTTTGTAATCTGGTTATGCTCTGTAGATCAACATCGTTCTTGGCTTCCTTACAGAAGACCACATAGAGAGTCTGACTTCCTAAAGAGAAGACCATCAGAAACCACGGAGAGCTGCCAAGGGCCTGGCAATGTCACTGATGCTGATCCTTGCCCAATCGCACAGCAGTCCCTGGAGAGACTTGTATCTGAACCATCTATTGCTGTGCCTGCACACACACACTGTCTACAGCTTCTGCTGGGAATTTCAAATCCAGACATAAGCATACACCAGATGGCTAAATCCACTGGATTGCTTTGAAAATGATCATGTTTCTAGCAGGGTGGGTTGCGCTAAAACATTTCTTGTGATAAGATGGACTCCACCTGATAGGTCTTTTTGAATTGTTAATTCTTCCTAAAACTACTAGAGAATTGCAGTTGCATCTTGAAAAAGTAAATCTTTCTCATCATGATGTTCCCAGGTAGAGAAAATAAATGTCAAAATACTACTTTTAAAAGAATTTAAAGATTCACCTGGTAACACTGCCCAAAGCTGTGACCTAAGTGGGATAGAATGAAGTAAATTTGAAATTCTGCATGGTGTGATTTCAACTTCTGTGCCTTGGCAGTGGTAGAGGGTGAGAGTGTACGTGATGCATATTCAGAAGAACTGTTAAATCAGTGTCAGAGATGTGCTCAACAGATACAACATGCACATTCAGCCTTGGCTGAAGAGAATAACATTTTGTCATACCATGCTCCATTTACCCTAAGGACCACTGCCCTACTTAATGCTCTGAGGCATGGCAGGCAGCCTCTTGATCTAACAAATGCAATGTAGTTCACAAGTGTAAGTTGGGTCAAGATGAGCAAATGAAAGAATGGGAGAGTGCAGGAGAAGGGATGAAAGAGCTGGGAGCCTGACCTTAGAGCCATAATAACACAGCAGTAAACCTGGCCATTATTTCCAGCCTGTGCCAGGAGCAATGGGAGGCCTTGGAGAAAATAGCTTGATCTGTACTTGGATGATGCTGAGCAGAACAGCATTTCAAGCTATTGTGCTGAAGAAGAGCCTGCAGCGAGGAAGGTGTCTGAGGGTATTGGACTTTGCTATACTCTTCACTGTACGAATAGTAAGTCCTAGGTCCATATCTAAGTATAGCTGTAAGGCCAGAGATAATCCATCTCTAAGGTACTTGTTGCAATGAATGATTGTCTGCACTGCATAGCCACTTGTCAAAATGAAGCAATGCTACCCCTTTTATATTCCTGTATTTCACAAGGGCAAAAAGTATTTTGTAGTTAATGTTTCTGCTCTGGTATTCCCATTTTACTACATCTATGTCTTATTTTAATCCACTGCACTCTAAAGAAAGATTGTTGATTGTCAATAACTGGGTAATTTAGTTGCAGTTTAAATGGTAAAATTACTTCTCCTTCACTTTGATATTAAACACCTATTTTAAAAGGAATAGGAAGCTTTATAAAAAGCAGGGTTGATTAATTAAAGAGCATCAAATGAAAAGAAATACAACTATAGAAATGTTATGTATGAGAGAAGATAGCCTTTGCTTTTTAGCTTTAAATTTTTATATTATATTAATGGATACCATAGAATGACCCTTTATCATGTTCAAATTTTATTGCACTGACATCAGTGGGACTAGTCATGTATTCAGAGGTAAATAAACGGTTAAGAGTTTTGCAGAACTGGGGCTTAAATTCAACCATCAAGTAGAGCAGTTTGCCTTCATGGAGCCCATCATATTAAAGATTAGAAATTCTGCGTTGCAGTTTCCCATTTTTTTTAACATCAAAACTCTAAAATGAAGAGCAAGGCCACCTAATTACTTACTAGAATTAAAACAATTATTGAAGCCAAGTCAATTTTTACACACAAAGACACAAAAGCTGTTGTTTTCCTTAAGGATGCAGAGAAATACATCTATACAGGTAGAAGTGTGCCAGACCACCGAAGGCGTGGAGATGTGTGCAAGAATGTGCACATGTTCTTGCTCATAAGATGGGCTGGATCTGGTTTCATGCCAAAGTAAATTCCCCAGCAGCTGAAGTGCTCTTCTAGCTGATAGAGATGACATGCAGCACAGCAACTTCCTTCTCTGCACAAAACCGGCGTTGTTTTTAACAATTAGCATTTACCTGACAGGTCAGTATGGAGGGAGAAGCTGTGGTGTGGCTTCAGCATTTTGTTAGTTCTAATCTTTTTTTTTTTTTTTTTTTTTTTTTTTTTTGGCAAAGGAGAGCATGAATAATTAGAACTCTTTGTTGCTAGGTGAAGCAGGACTGTCCAAGTTGGCTCAGGTAAACTTGTAGCCAGCCATTAAGAAATTTGTTTTCGTGTTTGTTCTATCAGGATTGGCAGCAAGAGTGTCAGAATGAACACTGAAATCATAGAATAACAGACCTTGCCTCTATAGGGTTGGATAACCACTTTCCAAGCAAATAAAAGAAGGCAAGAGTGGAAACATTACACTCCTCTCTTTTGTAAAAGGATTGAAAGAAATTGCAGTCTCTGAGGATAAAGGAAAAAAGCAAGGTGAGTGAGGACACTATCAAGAGAAGATTCAGCAGAAAAGAGTCCCATAGAACGTAAGACAATATTTGCTAAATTGAAAGAAATCAAAGAATGTGGAAGGGTAGTTTTGCTGTGATGGATGGGCTTATTAAAAAACACTTCCATGCCTTTCCCTGATTTCTAACATGATCTTCAAGGCCATATGTCCCCCCTTAGTTCCTCCACTCCTCTTCAATATATATGGCAAATAAAGATTAAGACAAATTTGGGAGTGAGTGAAATTTGGTAACAGAAAATCTGCAGATAATTGATCTACTGTGGAGCTTTGCCAGAATCCAATTGCTGAAACAGAATTTTACCAG